CCGATCTTCAAATCGGGCGAGAGGGGGTGCTCATAGCTGACCTTCCCCAATCGTACCCTAGCTCCCGGAGCCGAGGCAACTCTGGTGATGACGGACATGTGGCCTCGGCACCGAGTCAGGGTTTCCTAAATTCCCCCATTAAAAATATTTAGGTGGCGACTCAGTATCTTGGCCAAAGACAGTCCATGTTTGGCACTTCTTTTCAAAAAAATCTGTTTCTCAAAACATTTGCCGGATTTGGACTCTTTGGTTCAAGATTAAGAACCGTGACACAAAATCGAGTCCGAACTGTAGTAGCGTGGGTCCCCGCGGGCGCGTCTGGCTCAGATCGGGTGTGGTACTTAGAAGAAGGACCCGCGGCGTGGTCCAGATCGGGTTTCACGTTGTCTTCGGAGGAACGCAGCGCTTCGTCGCTTTATTAAAAAGATTTCAAAGATGTTTTCGCGTGGTCTACGAAGACATGCCTGGAATCGATCCTGAGATTGTACAGCACCGGATCCTCTTGATCTCGAGGCCCGACTGTCAAGCAGAAAACTCAGAAGGATCGCACCGGACTGGGCCTTCAAGAATTAAGGAAGAGGTCACCAAGCAAATTGATCGAGGTTCCTGCTGTATGATATTGACCACTATAAGGTTGGCCATCATTTGTTCCGATGCCGAAGAAGGATGCAGAATTCGGGTATGTGTATGACTTCAGAGATTTGAACGGGGCCCAAGTCCGAATGGACGACTTTCCCTTGCCGCACATCATTGATGAATTGTGATTTCACGGCAGTGACACCCTTGCTTTCGTTTATGTATTGGTTCTCAGGCTTAATAAATGAGTAATGGCGCCCGAAGACAGGAGAGACTGCATTCACTACCCCGTGGGGTACATATTGCTACAGAGTTGATGCCATTTTGGTGCTTGAAGAACGCTTAGAGCTACTTTCAAGGGCAGGGCACCACGTATTGCATGATATGATCCATTAAAAAGTCGAGGTGTACTGTGGACGACAGATTGGTCAAGTCCAAAGAAGAGAGGGCCACTACACCGCCTTACTAAGTCTTTCAAAGATCAGGAGAGTTTCGGTTGCGGTGGATCCTCAGAAATGACTTTCGGTTACGCGGGAAAAATGCTTGGGTTTCTGATACACAAAGGGGCATCGAGGTCGACCCTTCCAAATCAAGGCCATCTTAGAAATGCCACCACCAAGGACTGAAAAGGAGGTGCGAGGCTTTCTGGTAAAGTGCAATTCATAAGGCGGTTTATTTCTAAATAACCTTGACTTGTGAACCACTTTTTGGTCTCCTGAAGAAAGGAAAGAAATTCCAATGGGACGGCCGATGTCAAGCAGCTTTGAGCAGATCAAAGAATATCTACAGAACCCGCCCGTGTTGTCACCACCAGAGCCGGGGAGACCGTTGATATTGTAGGGGATGTGAACTGAAACCACGATGGGCTGCATGCTCGCACAAGAGTCAGAAGACAAAGTGGAAAGGGCCATCTACTATCTGAGCAAAAAGATGCTGGATTACGAGACCCGCTATACACCGCTGGAGAAGGCTTGTTTGGCCTTGGTATGGGCTACCAGGAAACTGCGGCACTACCTGTTAGCTCACTCTGTAATGTTGGTTTCACGCTTAGATCCCATCAAATATCTTTTCGAGAAACCGGCACTTACGGGTAGGCTAGCTCGTTAGCTGCTGTTGCTTTCCGAATTTGATCTGAAATATGTAACACGCAAGTCAGTGAAAGGAAGAGCAGTAGCGGAGTTCCTTGCCGATCACCCGGTTGAAGGGGATGAAGCGGTTGAGTACCTGTTCCCAGATGAAGCCATTCTGCACATCGAAGATGAAACTTGGACGATGTACTTTGACGGAGCGTCGAACCAATACGGGTATGGGATAGGAGTGTTGCTGATAGCGCCGGACGATTCCCGTATCCCTTTAGCGTTTAAACTCCGGTTCAAAGTCCCGAACAATGAAGCAGAATATGAGGCATGTATTGCCGGCCTAGAAGCAGCCCTAGAACTAGGGGCAAGACGGTTGGACGTCATTGGGGACTCGAACCTTGTTGTATCTCAAGCAAAATGAGACTGAAAAGTCAAAGAGGAAAGGATGATAATTTACCACCAAACCTTGGATTTGTTAATTCCTCGGTTTGAGAAGCTAAATTTCACCCACCTAGTAAGAGAGAACAACAGGTTCGCAGATTCACTAGCAACTCTATCTTCCATGATAGACATCCCGTCTGGAGTCTAGATGTGTCCAGTCATTATTGATCAGAAGTTTGCGCCAGCGTACGAGTCAATTTCCGCCATAGATGAGGCTCAGGACGACAACCCCTGGTATTATGACATTTAGAACTTCTTGGAAAATGAGGCGTATCTGCCAGGGGCAAATGCCAAGGATAAAAGGGCAATCAGGAGAATGGCTGTTCAGTTCATCATCTGCGAGGGTAAGCTGTACAAAAGAGGTCATCTGGGAATGCATAAGCTCTGTGTAGAAGCTGAAGAATCGAAGCGCCTGATGGAGGCCATCCACGGAGGAGAGTGCGGTGCACACATGAATGGAGTAATGCTGGCTAGAAAGATCCTCAGACAGGGCTACTACTGGTCTACCATGGAGGAGGATTGTATCGGCTTTGTTCGGCGATGTCACAAATGCCAGATCCATGCAAACCACATGAACATCCCGCCGTCGAAGCTGTACAACATGACTTCCCATGGCCATTTTCCGTTTGGGGAATTGATGTGATCGGAGCTGTTACCCCGAAAGGGTCGAATGGGCATGAGTTTATCCTGGTAGCGATAGATTATTTCACAAAGTGGGTCGAGGCCCAATCATACGCGGTGTTGAAGGCGTCGCACGTCGCAAAGTTCATCAGAAACAACATCATCTGTCGCTACGGGGTGCCAAACGAGATAATTTCAAATAATGGTTCCCACTTCAAGAAAGAAGTGATAGACTTGTTGGAAAAATACAATGTGGCTTTCCATAAGTCATCTACATACCGGCCGCAGACCAACGGAGCGGTTGAGGCCGCCAACAAGAATATCAAGCATATACTGCAGAAGATGGTGGGAACTTACCGGGATTGGCCAGACAAGCTGCCATTTGCTCAGGACTTCAATCAGAACTTCTACTGGGGCGACTCCATATTCATTGGTCTATGGAATGGAGGCTGTTCTACCCATCGAGATTGAGGTTCCGTCATTACGAGTATTGGCTGAATGCCAAATAGCCGAAGCAGATTGGCAGCAAAGCAGATTCGAAGAACTCATGCTCTTTGATGAAAGAAGACTGAAAGCACTGTACCACATCCAAGGCTATCAACGCAGAATTGCCCGGGCTTTCAACAAGAAGGTTAAGTCCAGGAATCTGAAAGAAGGAGATCTGGTGCTCAAAGACAACTGAGCTCCCATCCATGACCCAAGGGGCAAGTTCAAACCCAATTGGACTGGTCCTTACATCAACAAAGCTATCTGGTCCGGTGGAGCTGTGGTTCTGATGGATCTAGATGGCTTGGAGTTCTCACAACTGATCAATATGGACAAGTTGAAGAAATATTACCCTTGAGAGGCTCGCTAGGCCGAAAACCCGAAAGGGCGACCTAGGCAAAAGTCAGAGCACAAAAAATTAGAAAATATAAAAACTGAGCTCGCAAGGTTGAAAACCCGCAAAGGGCGACCTTGGCAAAAGTTAGAGCGCAAAAGGAGAGCGAAAATACTCGAGTGAACCAATAAAGCACAAAAAGAAAGGTTCGAAATAGAGTTTTGAACGGGATTTATACACTCAGCCAAAACAGGCTTAGGTTTGGAAATGAAGCACAAATTCCATATTTCTTACTGAGAATTATGTGAGAAACATAATCTTATTTTCATCATCGAGTAATCAAAAGGACAAGCCCAGGTCTTAGGGTTGGTCAAAATGGGGTGTTTATAGTTGCCTCTCTTTGATAGAGCTCGAAGTCATTTCTTAACGTGAGTGACTGTCAAAGCTCAAAGACGACCCATTTGACAAAGCCGTAAAACTTAGACAAACAAACAAGATGCAATGCAAGTTGGTTATCTCAGTGACAGATTTTCGGCGTGTCCAGTTCTGATCCACATCGAAAATAGTTTTGAAAAGTTTTAATAAAAGTCGACTTTGTTCAAATAATCTTTTTTACGACTAAGACCATTTTTGGACCAAAGCGGAAAATTTTCAGTACCATAACCTTCAATTTCATCGATTTCAAAACAGAGTTCTCCTGCTCTTATATATAACCGAGGTTGCTTTTTAGTACATTCATAAAGAAAACTTGAAAATGCTAAATAAGCAATAAATTTGGGACATAGTTGAATCAAGTATCTCTGTGTCCCCTCCCAGAGCTGGACGATGCCAAGCTAGCCATTTACTTTTTCAGAAATGGCCGGCCAGCTGTCTCTCTCCCCAAAAAATGGCCGGCCGGCTCCCAGGAATGGTTGGCAACGCTGCAGTGTATCTCCTTGGCCCTGTTTTACTCTTCGAAGGAAAGTTCCAAGCATTTCCATGCAACGGGAAAGTCAAAGGCCTTTGTCTCCCTCCGTTCCGGATGCGTTCCGATGCCCAGATTGTCAGAAGTACACTTTGTTGTTGTTGAGTTTTGTTTATCGAGTTGTTGTTTTGCTTATCGAGTTGTTTGTCGAGCGGACGTGTTTTGTGTTTTGAGTCATTGCTCTCTGTTTAAGCAATTTTTGTTAAAGTCTTGTTTATTTGCGTTGTTGCATTTTGCTTATCGAGTTGTTTGTCGAGCGGACGTGTTTTGTGTTTTGAGCCATTGCTCTCTGTTTAAGCAATTTTTGTTAAAGTCTTGTTTATTTACGTTGTTGCATTTTGCTTATCGAGTTGTAAACTTGCTAAAGACTCTGTTATATCTTAGTAAGTTGAGTTGTTTAGTTTGTTGCGTCGGTTCACTACCTGATTTGGTGATTACACGATGTACATTTCCTTTCAAATTCATTTTTGTGCGAAATAAATGATGCGATACGATGCTAAAAGTTCAAAATACAAACACCTTTTCAAAAGCTATTTCATTTCATCATGCTTTACAACAAACAAAAGGTACAGGTTTTACAAAAACAAAACTGCCTAACAATGTGCAAAGTGCTACAAACTACTAGTAAAAGAAAAATAAAGCAGGAAATAGCAACATCAAAATCCTCGGGAACGGGAACGAGAAGCACGCCTGGTCCTCTTTTGTGGAACAACCTCCACACCATCATCAGAGTCGGAGCTGTCGTCCTCAGGATCCTCCTCAGCCTCGCCTCTGTTCCCCGAGCCAAAACCGGAGCCTCCCTCCTCAGCAGATGTCTCTGACTGACGGTCGGTAGCCTCCTCCTCCTCCTCCTCATCAGACTCCACCTCCACAACATGAGCCCTGCGTCTGCGGACAGGCCCCCCTCGAGCTCCTCGAAAAGGCCTAGATGGCCCGGCTCCTCGGGAAGGCCGAGATGACCCCTCCCCCTGATAAGGCCCGGATGGCCCAGCTCCCTGATAAGGCCCAGACGGCCCAGCTCCCCAATGAGGCCCAGGTGGCCTGGTCTGTGGCTGACCGGACCATGAAGGCATCTGAAAACAAAGAGTTCAATTCAAATACATCAGTCCAAATATATACATCAGATGCAGATACAAGCAAAAGCTACGTAAAGTGGGTGCATATAAATACAGTGTACAAGTGAAGTGTGTGTCAGATGTGCTCTACACAAGCAGTCTATCGATGTAGTAGAAATCAGCATGTCATCAGAAGTATGATAAATGCCAAAAAACTGAAGGGTACCTGAATGCCCGCAACAGACAACTGTGCCTCCCTCCGTAGTACCATGCCCTCGAGTGTGGCCACCAGCCCAACCATCTCCTCCATGTACCCTCGCGATGGCTGCAAAAATGAGCTCATAATCATCAGTGAACAGAAGAGTGTCTAAACATCTGAATGATGAATGAAAAACAAAAATTCTTTAAGGATCAAAGAGTTTCGGCTGCGACTGAATCCCCAGAAATGCACGTTTGGTGTTACAGCAGGGAAGATGTTAGGGTTTTCTGATCAAAAAGGGGCATCGAGGTCGACCCTTCCAAAATCAAGGCCATCTTAGAAATGCCACCACCAAGGACTGAAAAGGAGGTGCGAGGCTTTCGGGTAAAGTGCAATTCATAAGACGGTTTATTTCTAAATTAACCTTGACTTGTGAACCACTTTTTGGTCTCCTGAAGAAAGGAAAGAAATTCCAGTGGACGGATGTCAAGAGCTTTTGAGCAGATCAAGAGAGTATCTACAGAACCCACCGTGTTGTGCCGGAGCCGGGGAGACGTTGATACTGTACCTTTCGGTAACTGAGACTACCATGGGCTGCATGCTCGCGCAGGGTCAGAAGACAAATGGAAAGAGCCATCTATTATCTGAGCAAAAAGATGCTGATTACGAGACCCGTATACCGCCCTGGAGAAGGCTTGTTTGGCCTTGGTATGGGCAACCAGGAAGCTGCGGCACTACCTGTTAGCCCACTCTGTAATGTTGGTTTCGCGTTTGGATCCCATCAAAATATCTTTTCGAGAAACCAGCACTTACGGGTAGGCTAGCTCGTTGGCTGCTGTTGCTCTCCGAATTTGATTTGAAGTATGTGACGCGCAAGTCAGTAAAAGGCAGAGCGGTAGAGGTTCCTTGCCGACCCACCGGTTGAGGGGATGAAGCGGTTGAGTATCTATTCCCAGATGAAGCCATTCTGCACGTAAGAGATTTGGACAATGTACTTTGACGGAGCGTCAAACCAGTATGGGTATGGGATAGGGGTGTTGCTGATAGCGCCTGATGATTCCCGTATCCTTTAGCATTCAAGCTCCGGTTCAAAGTTTCCAACAATGAAGCAGAGTATGAGGCATGTATTGCTGGCCTGAAGCAGCCCTGGAACTAGGGGCAAGACGAGTGGACGTCATTGGGGACTCGAACCTCGTTGTGTCTCAAGCAAAAGGAGATTGAAAGGTCAAAGAGGAAAGGATGATAATCTACCACCAAACCTTGGATTTGTTAATTCCTCGGTTTGAGAAGCTAAATTCACCCACCTCGTAAGAGAGAACAACAGGTTTGCAGATTCACTAGCAACTCTATCTTCTATGATAGACATCCCGTCCGGAGTCCGGATGCGTCCAGTTTTTGACAGAAGTTGCGCCGGCATACGAGTCGATTTCCGCATAGATGAGGTTCAAGACGGCAACCCTGGTATTACGACATCTGGAACTTCTTGGAAAAGGAGATATCCACTAGGGGCAAATGCAAAGATAGAGGGCTGTCAGAAGAATGGTGTTTTCGTTATCTGCGGGGAAATTTGTACAAAAGGGGTCATCTGGGAATGCATAAGCTCTGTGTAGAAGCTGAAGAGTCAAAACGCCTGATGGAAGCCATCCATGGGGGGGAGTGCGGTGCACACATGAATGGAGTAATGCTGGCCAGAAAGATCCTCAGACAGGGCTACTACTGGTCAACCATGGAGGAGGATTGTATTAGCTTTTGTTCGGCGATGCCACAAATGTCAAATTCATGCAAATCGCATGAACATCCCGCCGTCAAAACTGTACAACATGACTTCGCCGTGGCCTTTTTCAGTCTGGGGAATTGATGTGATCGGAGCTGTTACCCCGAAGGGGTCAAACGGGCATGAGTTTATCCTAGTAGCGATAGATTATTTCACAAAGTGGGTCGAGGCCAATCATACGCAGTGTTGAAGGCGTCGCATGTCGCAAAGTTCATCAGGAACAACATCATCTGTCGCTACGGGGTGCCAAACGAAATAATTTCAGAAATGGTTCCCACTTCAAGAAAGAAGTGATAGACTTGTTGGAGAAATACAATGTGGCTTTTCATAAGTCATCTACATACAGGCCCAGACCAACGGAGCAGTTGAGGCCGCCAACAAGAATATCAAGCATATACTACAGAAGATGGTGGAAACCTATCGAGATTGGCCAGACAAGCTGCCATTTGCTCTGTGGGGCTACAGGACTTCAATCAGAACTTCTACTGGAGCAACTCCATATTCATTGGTCTATGGAATGGAGGCTGTTCTACCATTGAGATTGAGGTCCATCATTACGAGTATTGGCTGAATGCCAGATAGCCGAAGCAGATTGGCAGCAAAGCAGATTCGAAGAACTCATGCTCTTTGATGAAAGAAGACTGAAAGCACTGTACCACATCCAAGGCTATCAACGCAGATTGCCCGGGCTTTCAACAAGAAGTTAAGTCCAGGAATCTGAAAGAAGGAGATTTGGTGCTCAAAGACAACCGAGCTCCCATCCACGACCCAAGGGGCAAGTTCAAACCAATTGGACTGGTCCTTACATCATCAAAGCTATCTGGTCAGGTGGGGCTGTGGTTCTGATGGATCTAGATGGCTTGGAGTTCTCACAACCGATAATATGGACAAGTTGAAGAAATACTATCCTTGAGAGGCTCGCTAGGCCGAAAACCCGAAAGGGCGACCTAGGCAAGATTCGAGCACAAAAAAATTAGAAAATATAAAAACTGAGCTCGCAAGGTTGAAAACCCGCAAAGGGCGGCCTTGGCAAAAGTTAGAGCGCAAAAGGAGAGTGAAAATACTCGAGCGAACCTAGCCTGAACTACGTAAGACTTGATTCCCATCTTTGGGATACGTAGGCAGCTTCGTCTTGAAGTTCAGTCATAAACTTTTCCCCGATCAACTTTGTCCATTTCGATCATCTCAGTCATCTTTATCTATCAGCATTTACCGTGATCTCCGGTACAGGTGTTTTCAAACTAGGGGCAACTTTCCGTTGCTTTGGAGTGCCACATTGTTCTTCAGACTAGGGGCAACTTTCCAGTTGCAGGGATCTGGGTTGTGCATCTCAGTGACAGATTTTCGGCATGTCCAGTTCTGATCCACATCGAAAATAGTTTTGAAAAGTTTTAATAAAAGTTGACTTTGTTCAAATCAATCTTTTTACGACTTAGACCATTTTTGGACCAAAAGTGGAAAATTTTCAGTCAATAACTTTCAATTTCATTGATTTCAAAATAGAGTTCTCTTGCTCTTGCATTACAATCGAGGTTGCTTATTTTAGTACAGTCATAAAGAAAACTTGAAAATGCTAAATAAGCAATAAATTTGGGGCATAGTTGAATCAAGTATCTCTGTGTCCTTCCAGAGCTGGACGGAGCATCTGATGCCAAGCTGGGCCCAATTGTACCTCCTCTTTGAGCCAATCCACATTCATCTGACAAAGTGCAACTGAAGGTTGAAGCAGGGGCCAGAAGCTCTCTAGTCCTCCATGCCGTGGCATATCTGGCTGGCCAGCCATCGCTGGCCGCAGCTCCCGGGATGGCTAGCAATGCTGCAGTGTGTCTCCTCGGCCCTGTTTTACTCTTCGAAGGAGAACTCCAAGCATTTCCATGCAAACGGAGACCAAAGGCCTTCATCCCGGAGCGTTCCGATGCCCAGATCGTCAGAAGTACACTTTGTTGTTTTAGTTTCTTATCGAGTTGTTGCATTTTGCTTATCGAGTT